TGTAGTACACATTGTTTAGCCACAAGAACAAATATATATTATATAAAAAAAATATATATATTATATAAACTAAGTATATCAATAATAACTAAATCAGAAATTATATTATATGCTACATTATGAACTATATAAACACTATATTAATATTTTATATAAACTCTGAGGACGGACATCAGTCTTCTCAAAAACATATAAAAATGCAGAAAAAAAATTGATAAAAGTCCTCAAAATATAGTACTTCAAATAGCATTTGTCAACAAGATTTAGAGAGAGTTAAAGATTTAATCTCAAACATAAGCACAACCAGTTCAACTTATAAATATTTTGCATTTCAAACATCTGACCATTATAGAAAAGTCTTGTTACTTTAACCAAGAAATAACATAGAAGATCTCTTTTAACTTGAAGAACATTGTTTTCTTAAAAACGCCAACAAACATTATAAACTTCACAAAATTATGGCAGTAGATTATGAATTTTTTTTTAAATCGAAGACAAAACAAAAATAATAGCCTGAAAGGCACATAAATATTAAACTATGCAAAACAACTCAAACCAAAAAATAAAAGACAAATAATGGAATTCATGAGAATCACGCAAGTTTTCAATATACAAAAGCTTTTATATAAAGCTCACAAACGGTGAAGTCGAAATACAACTGTAGTCCTCCAAGCTAGTTGATCTAGTCTGACCGTTGCATGGAAGTGTTGAACCATCGTTTCATATGGTCTTCAAATACGGAAATCTGTACCTTAGGAAACTTCTTCAAGCAAACACCTATTAGAGAGAAACAAAGCAGGAGTAGTTTAATGTATGTGTATATACATAATATATATATTATATGTGTATAATATGCTTACATGAAAAAAACAAAGTTAATAAATGTGAAGATAATTGTTTAAAAACAAGATGATACTCACCTTCTACTAGATTTTTTACTTTGGACTTTTCAAAACTGAGCTTAATTCCTCCAGAACCTTTCCAACTAATGAGTCGTGCCAAGTTATTCCTAAGTAGGGTCGACAAAATAGAGTAAGTGAAGAGAGAGGTTGTCTCTCCCTTTCCCTTCCATAACAGATACTTGAGCTACAACACAAAGAAAGCCAATCAAAGTACTTAATAAACACATGTTAGTAACTGCATTATTATATATAACTGTGGTAGAAAACTCACCATATGGCCATACAATATTTTATCATCTAAATGACCATCAAAGTTTGCAAAAAATTCCTCAGTTTCCAATGGCAAGGAAGGGAACCCTTCAGGCCGATCAAAACCATCTTCATTGGGGAACAACTCGTTCAAAATTTGGGCCATCCCAATATTCTGCCAATCTATCTTGGCTGACAATTCTTGCATATAATGTAGCATTACTTGATCTTAAGGCTTACCTATCAAAAAACCACATGAATCAAATGACAGCTTTGGACTGATAGATGTAATTTGCTCATAACATAAAAAATCATCATAAAAACTGCCAATTATCAATGAAAACAATTTTCATTTCTTCAAGGATATAAGAAAATAGAGAATATAAGACTTACTGCCAGTTGATCCAGATCCAGAGATCGTTGATATGCAGCTTCTGCATCCTGTTGTTGGCCGTGAATCTATGAACAACAAAACCAAACAACCTCTAATATAACCTCATTATAACTATCCAACAGAACTTTAAGAATCGAGGGTCTAATTATTATATAGTTAGCAATTATACATACCTTCTTTAACAGAGTCGACATTTCCTTATACTTCTAGGCAAACCACGTCGAACGTTCACAACACAAAACTGGCAGCGAAAACGCGGGTAATCCGTTCTCTTCTAGATCCTTCTCTTCTGAAATTCTCACGATCTTACTCTGAAGCTCCTCGAGTGACTCTCGATCTCGATGTTATTCGATACCTTCAATATATCGATACATATATATCGATGGCGTCACAATGATGTCATTTTGACGTCACTGCAAGGAGCCTTGATGAAAAATTGACCATTTAAAGTCAAAATGACATCATTTTGACGTTTTCGTGACTTTTTGTTCTCTTTGGGTAGCTTACGAGAGCCTAAAAGACAATGATAGCTCCGCAGTCGATGCTGCTATTTATACTCCTTTCTTTCTCCGTCACGTGACTACCTCGAAAATGGCGCGTTCTGATTAGCTGCCTTCCCCAAACTTTAATGTAAGCTGCCCTCAAACTTTAATAGTAAGTAAGTATGGTTTATGAGCAGAGAGAAATAGAAAAAAAAATATTATATAAAAATAGCTCTCAAAATGCGTTATTGGAAAGTAATAGAAAAAGATGGAATATTGAAAAAATATTAAGGGTTTTGCCATACGTGTGACACGCCATTCGATTATGTTTATCTATTTGTTTTTCTATTCTGCAAGCTTACTATTTAAAATTATGAAAATAATTAAAGGTAATCATAAAAACTTGTATGAATATTAGTAATGATTGCAGTACCTTATGTAGAACGTTATCTCAAAATGCCGCGAGTTTTTACAAACGAAAAACACACGGATATTTATTTTGTGTATGGTTTATGTGCAGGGAATCTGAGAACTTCC